ACAGGAGATGACCAGAGACTGCGGACACGGTACAGGAGATGACCAGAGACTGCGGACAAAGTACAGGAGATGACCAGAGACTGCAGACATAGTACAGGAGACGGTTAGAGACTGCGGACACAGTACGGGAGACGGTTAGAGACTGCGGACACAGTACGGGAGACGGTTAGAGACTGCGGACACGGTACGGGAGATGACCAGAGACTGCGGACACGGTACGGGAGATGACCAGAGACTGCGGACACGGTACGGGAGATGACCAGAGACTGCGGACACGGTACGGGAGATGACCAGAGACTGCGGACACGGTACGGGAGACGACCAGAGACTGCGGACACGGTACGGGAGAAGGTCAGAGACTGCGGACACGGTACGGGAGACGGTCAGAGACTGCGGACACGGTACGGGAGACGGTCAGAGACTGCGGACACGGTACGGGAGACGGTCAGAGACTGCGGACACGGTACGGGAGACGGTCAGAGACTGCGGACACGGTACGGGAGACGGTCAGAGACTGCGGACACGGTACGGGAGACGGTCAGAGACTGCGGACACGGTACGGGAGACGGTCAGAGACTGCGGACACGGTACGGGAGACGGTCAGAGACTGCGGACACGGTACGGGAGACGGTCAGAGACTGCGGACACGGTACGGGAGACGGTCAGAGACTGCGGACACGGTACGGGAGACGGTCAGAGACTGCGGACACGGTACGGGAGACGGTCAGAGACTGCGGACACGGTACGGGAGACGGTCAGAGACTGCGGACACGGTACGGGAGACGGTCAGAGACTGCGGACACGGTACGGGAGACGGTCAGAGACTGCGGACACGGTACGGGAGACGGTCAGAGACTGCGGACACGGTACGGGAGATGACCAGAGACTGCGGACACAGTACAGGAGATGACCAGAGACTGCGGACACAGTACAGGAGATGACCAGAGACTGCGGACATAGTACAGGAGATGACCAGAGACTGCGGACACAGTACAGGAGATGACCAGAGACTGCGGACACAGTACAGGAGATGACCAGAGACTGCGGACACAGTACAGGGATGACCAGAGACTGCGGACACAGTACAGGAGATGACCAGAGACTGCGGACACAGTACAGGGATGACCAGAGACTGCGGACACAGTACAGGAGATGACCAGAGACTGCGGACACAGTACAGGAGATGACCAGAGACTGCGGACACAGTACAGGAGATGACCAGAGACTGCGGACATAGTACAGGAGATGACCAGAGACTGCGGACACAGTACAGGAGATGACCAGAGACTGCGGACACAGTACAGGAGATGACCAGAGACTGCGGACACGGTACAGGAGATGACCAGAGACTGCGGACAAAGTACAGGAGATGACCAGAGACTGCAGACATAGTACAGGAGACGGTTTAGAGACTGCGGACACAGTACGGGAGACGGTTAGAGACTGCGGACACAGTACGGGAGACGGTTAGAGACTGCGGACACGGTACGGGAGATGACCAGAGACTGCGGACACGGTACGGGAGATGACCAGAGACTGCGGACACGGTACGGGAGATGACCAGAGACTGCGGACACGGTACGGGAGATGACCAGAGACTGCGGACACGGTACGGGAGACGACCAGAGACTGCGGACACGGTACGGGAGAAGGTCAGAGACTGCGGACACGGTACGGGAGACGGTCAGAGACTGCGGACACGGTACGGGAGACGGTCAGAGACTGCGGACACGGTACGGGAGACGGTCAGAGACTGCGGACACGGTACGGGAGACGGTCAGAGACTGCGGACACGGTACGGGAGACGGTCAGAGACTGCGGACACGGTACGGGAGACGGTCAGAGACTGCGGACACGGTACGGGAGACGGTCAGAGACTGCGGACACGGTACGGGAGACGGTCAGAGACTGCGGACACGGTACGGGAGACGGTCAGAGACTGCGGACACGGTACGGGAGACGGTCAGAGACTGCGGACACGGTACGGGAGACGGTCAGAGACTGCGGACACGGTACGGGAGACGGTCAGAGACTGCGGACACGGTACGGGAGACGGTCAGAGACTGCGGACACGGTACGGGAGACGGTCAGAGACTGCGGACACGGTACGGGAGATGACCAGAGACTGCAGACATAGTACAGGAGATGACCAGAGACTGCGGACACAGTACAGGAGATGACCAGAGACTGCGGACACAGTACAGGAGATGACCAGAGACTGCGGACATAGTACAGGAGATGACCAGAGACTGCGGACACAGTACAGGAGATGACCAGAGACTGCGGACACAGTACAGGAGATGACCAGAGACTGCGGACACAGTACAGGGATGACCAGAGACTGCGGACACAGTACAGGAGATGACCAGAGACTGCGGACACAGTACAGGGATGACCAGAGACTGCGGACACAGTACAGGAGATGACCAGAGACTGCGGACACAGTACAGGAGATGACCAGAGACTGCGGACACAGTACAGGAGATGACCAGAGACTGCGGACATAGTACAGGAGATGACCAGAGACTGCGGACACAGTACAGGAGATGACCAGAGACTGCGGACACAGTACAGGAGATGACCAGAGACTGCGGACACAGTACAGGGATGACCAGAGACTGCGGACACAGTACAGGAGATGACCAGAGACTGCGGACACAGTACAGGGATGACCAGAGACTGCGGACACAGTACAGGAGATGATCCCCATACACATTGATCAGACATAACATGGAGACCAATGTTGGGGGAAGTCAATAACACTATAAGAAGATAATAGAAGCTGTTTCTTGTGTCAGGTGAAGTCATAGCCCCCCCCCCCCCCCATCATCATCATCCTCCTCATCATCATCATCATCCACTTCCTCATCCTCATCATCCTCATCCTCTTCTATTATCCATGCATCTCTTTGTTTACTAAGTCCATAGAAGTGTCCGGTGGTGAAGGATCGCCATCCGGTGGACACTCATCACATTGCAAATCTATTCCCAACCTCCAGCAATTAACATTTTATGAGCTTCCAATGAAACCGTGTGACCCCGGAGTCCATCGTACCGCCGTGTGACCCCGGAGTCCATCGTACCCGCCGCGTGACCCCGGAGACCCCGTACAACCCACACCCGTCTCTCTCCCCCCCGTACACCCCACACCCGTCTCTCTCCCCCCCGTACACCCCACACCCGTCTCTCTCCCTCCCCGTACACCCCACACCCGTCTCTCTCCCTCCCCGTACACCCCACACCCGTCTCTCTCCCTCCCCGTACACCCCACACCCGTCTCTCTCCCTCCCCGTACACCCCACACCCGTCTCTCTCCCCCCCGTACACCCCACACCCGTCTCTCTCCCCCCCGTACACCCCACACCCGTCTCTCTCCCCCCCGTACACCCCACACCCGTCTCTCTCCCCCCCGTACACCCCACACCCGTCTCTCTCCCCCCCCCGTACACCCCACACCCGTCTCTCTCCATCCCTATACAGCCCCCACCTGTGTCTCTCTTGCCCTCTTTACACCCCCATCCATCTCCTCCCTGTACATCGCCTGCCCGTCCCCCCCATTTCCTCCCACCCCATACACCCCCCACATAAATGCATGTAAATCCATGAATTGCTGCATTTCAGCTGGTTTCGGTGTCAGGCGTGTGCGTGTTCATGGATTCCAGGGACCCGACGGAGGATTTCTGAGCCTTGGATGGATCAACGCGGAAACAAAGCTAAACGCACATTTGTGCTGCACGGGGCCCTCATAGAGCCAAACGCATGCTGCGGGCCGTACAGTAACAACCCCTTCCTGTGGGTGTCACTCACCATTCCCAGCACATTGCCACCTGGTGTCACTCACCATTTCCAGCACATTGCCTCCCGGTGTCACTCACCATTTCCAGCACATTGCCTCCCGGTGTCACTCACCATTTCCAGCGCATTGCCTCCCGGTGTCACTCACCATTTCCAGCGCATTGCCTCCCGGTGTCACTCACCATTTCCAGCGCATTGCCTCCCGGTGTCACTCACCATTCCCAGCACATTGCCCCCTGGTGTCACTCACCATTCCCAGCACATTGCCTTCTGGTGTCACTCACCATTCCCAGCACATTGCCTTCTGGTGTCACTCACCATTCCCAGCACATTGCCTCCCGGTGTCACTCACCATTTCCAGCGCATTGCCTCCCGGTGTCACTCACCATTTCCAGCGCATTGCCTCCCGGTGTCACTCACCATTTCCAGCGCATTGCCTCCCGGTGTCACTCACCATTTCCAGCGCATTGCCTCCCGGTCTCACTCACCATTTCCAGCGCATTGCCTCCCGGTGTCACTCACCATTTCCAGCGCATTGCCTCCCGGTGTCACTCACCATTCCCAGCGCATTGCCTCCCGGTGTCACTCACCATTCCCAGCACATTGCCCCCTGGTGTCACTCACCATTCCCAGCGCATTGCCTCCCGGTGTCACTCACCATTCCCAGCGCATTGCCTCCCGGTGTCACTCACCATTCCCAGCACATTGCCCCCTGGTGTCACTCACCATTCCCAGCGCATTGCCCCCCGGTGTCACTCACCATTCCCAGCACATTGCCTTCTGGTGTCACTCACCATTCCCAGCACATTGCCTTCTGGTGTCACAAAGTGAAAGGAAATCATTGGTCAGATTTTCTTCCTATAAATGGAATGAAACGACAAAAAGTTACAAAGTATCGGAACTGGAAATAGAAAAGAGATTTCCTTCCTACTTCCTGTTCTAAATGACAGGAAATGAAATCTCCCTGATAAGACCCCCTTCCCCCCCCCCCCCACCAGATAAGACCCCCCCTTCTGATAAGACCCCCTTCCCCTCCTCTGATAAGACCCCCTTCCCCCCCTCTGATAAGACCCCTCCCCCCCCTCTGATAAGACCCCCCATAAGACCCCCTTCCCCCCTCTGATAAGACCCCTCCCCCCCTCTGATAAGACCCCCCCTGATAAGACCCCCTCCCCCCCCTCTGATAAGACCCCCCCCCCCCCCCCCTCTGATAAGACCCCTCCCCCTCCCTAATATCTGGACATTTTGGCTTTAGCTGAAGTTTCTCTGATGAGATTCTGTAACCAGACAATGAAATCTGAGCTCCTCTGCCGCCATCTACTGGTCATATATCAGATAACATTCTGTATGTATGGATATTTTTATTTGTATAAACAAACAAATTACAAGGTAACAAAACTGTAACCATCATCATAAAACACACAAAACCAACAATGTAACAACTGCCTACATCTTCTTCACGTCAAAAACACATCAGTTTAAATGAAATGAAAAGTTATACACAGAATTTTGATACTCTGCACAGTCCCACTTCTCCTGTCCCGGATGCCGGGTGTCATTCTCGATATCTCCTCTCATTCTGTATGTATGGACTCTGCACAGTCCCACTTCTCCTGTCCTGGATGCCGGGTGTCATTTCTCGGTATCTGTCCCCATTCTGTATGTATGGACTCTGCACAGTCCCACTTCTCCTGTCCCGGATGCCGGGTGTCATTCTCGGTATCTGTCCCCATTCTGTATGTATGGATATTTTTATTTGTATAAACAAACAAATTACAAGATAACAAAACTGTAACCGTCATCATAAAACACACAAACCAACAATGTAACAACTGCCTACATCTTCACGACAGAAAGTCAACAAATTAAACTAATGAAAGTTCTGCATAGAATTTGATGCTGTAAATAAATTCCTCCCATTTTTATATTCCTTTCGGCTCTAAACTCTTTTTATAAATCGGAATCTGAGTCACTCTGCCGACTACCAGTTTCCATATCGGATTCTACAAATACGGGAGCCGGGGGCGGGCGCTTCTTAGTGGGCGGGTCCTCCCCTGAACTAGCTGCAGATTCCCTTTCTACTACTTCCCCCATTTGGTCCTCTAGATCACAGGAGTCGGCATCTGACTCTGATAGGACGTCATACCGCTTGCTGACTGCCATACTACCTTCTGGCGCCCTTCTCACCTTCTTAGCGGATTTCTGCACTCGGGTCCATTCACTTTCAGGTTTACGGGTGGCCTTCTCCTTCCTATTCCTTCTCTTCTGCCTGGGAATGTTCTCCACAGAGGCAGGAACTGAAACGGATGGGATGGCCACAGATGGCCGCTGCTCCTCAGCCTGCTGCACACTGCCCTCCTGCCCGAGGCTGGCCCCTTGGACTTCTGGGTTTACCTCCCCCTCAGTTGATATGACCCCATTCATTAAGGCTTCCTCCTCCAGGTGTTCTGCTACCACCAGAAATTCCTCATCCACTGATTCCTCATCCCTATTGTGGAAAGCCACCGGGCAATCTCTGTGCAAATGGCCAAGCCTACCACATAGATTGCACTTGATGTTCTCACAGGTAGAACTGACATGGCCGACCTCCCCACACAGATGACACTTCATGACAGAGCAGACACTCGCCACATGACCCGACCTACCGCATTTGAAACATAGCCTGGGCTGACCTGCATAGAAGCAAACTCCCCTCTCCCCGCCCAATGAAGAAGGAGTTTGGAAGGTGATGGGTGACATTGTTACTCTGCCTCAGCTTGACAAGAACCCTCCAACCTCCAGTCCAGATCCCATCACTGTCCCTAGTTTTGGTCAGATCAGAGACCATCTCACAATGCCTTCTGAGCCAGACTACAATATCCTGGGGGGGCACAGACTACAATACCCTGGGGGGGCACAGACTACAGTATCCTGGGGGGGCACAGACTACAGTATCCTGGGGGGGCACAGACTACAATACCCTGGGGGGGGCACAGACTAACAATATCCTGGGGGGGGCACAGACTACAATATCCTGGGGGGGCACAGACTACAATATCCTGGGGGGGCACAGACTACAATACCCTGGGGGGGGCACAGACTACAATATCCTGGGGGGGGCACAGACTCATTCCAGAAAATGATGTTCACGTTTGCTGTGTCAGGTTTGGAGATGGGGATGAAGATGAAGTTCCTCCACCCCTCTTTATCCCGAAACCCACTAAAGCCGGCCCAGAACCCGTCCAAGCCAGACATGAGCTTAAAGCTGACATCATCCCGTCTGTCAGGGAGGTTGATGACGGCCAGTATATCTGGGGCACAAACCCCATCTGCTGACACAGCAACTCCCTAACTACAAACCTCCTATCAGGGAGCTCTTCTCTGGAACCTCTATGCTTCAACCTGACCACGTTCCTCCTCTTGAAGGCCTGACCAGTATAACCGGCATTGTTGGAAAAAGAAGGAGCCCCACGGCTCCAGGCATTCCGAGGAGGGACATGGCCAGATGGACCACCATTCCCTTGTGATGCAGGTGGCGACTCAACCAAAGGGGGGAAATCACGGGTGTTATCCTGAACTGACTCCTCCATTGCCACATTCACAGGGTCCTCAGACTGGTCCTGACCCCATCCAGACATACCTACCTCTGTATTAATGACATCGGGAACCCCTACATCGATATTAGTGATATCGGCACTGGCCATATCACCACTAGCATCAGCAGCTTCATCTGCATAATTATCAACTACCCCATCCCGAACACCAGTCCCCTCAGCATTGGTCCCACCATGAGAACGGGGGGTAGCAACACCGTCCCCATAGTCCATGTGCTGGGAGTCCATGTCGCTTCTCTGGGTTTCCTGCACTATGAAAGTCTGCTGGGTGAAGCTGACGCTACCGCTGTCCTCCAGAGCTGGAGTCTGTCTTTCAGGGAGCACATTTGCTGGTAGCGTGCCTTGGATCAGTTCCCCGGAGTCTGACTCTGAAGAAGACTCCATCTTTACACTTAATTGTGCCCCAACCCCCGATCGCAATCCCGATACACCTCCCCCCCTGGTCCCAGTTCTTCCAGAACAGCATCAATGTTCCTCGATATACGGCCAGTTCAATGCCCAGGGCGTTAAGCTCGCTGTCATGTAGGACTTCATTCCCGGGGTCGGCAGCCTTGAGTCTGTAGATGGAGTCAATCCTTTTCTGGGTCGAAGCCTTAGCTTTCCTCAAGGTCTTCATTCTCTTCTCCAGAGCAGGAATCCTGTCAGCCAGGCGCAGCACAGGTGACTTTAACACTTTCTGCTTCCTATCCGCGGGACGCTTGAAATTCTGATCGCCATCAGCGGTACTGGGTGAAGGGTCTCTGCTGGATGTAGAAGGACTCTCCGGGCCAGACTGTGGAGGCTTATTGGCTCCATCATCTTTCTTCTGCCGGGACCTGGGGCGTAATGAGCGTTCCTGGCCACTGCCCACCATTACACACTGCTGTAAGTTCTCCTTCAGAGTTTTTTCTGCTCCAACGTAGTCCTTGCAGATCTGCGCGGAGTACTGGGAGCGACAGGTGTCTGTACTCCGCTCTGAACTGTATGGGCCCCGCTCTGAACGGCCTGTGCTGGGCTCTGTGCGGCATGGGCTCCACTCTTCTGGGCTTGCTTTGTTTGCAATGGCTGACTGCCATTTGTTGCTACTCCAGAGCTGGTAGTGTGCTGGGTGACAGTGTCACTTTCCTGAGCCATATGGACTGTGTGATAACCACTCTGCACGGCATGGACTTTGCACTGTATGGCATGGGCTCTACTCTGCTGGACTTGCTTTTGTTGCAATGACTGACTGCCCTGATTTACAGTTCCAGAACTTGAAGCATGCCGAGTGACAACCTTACATTCCTGAGCTGCATGGACTGTATGGGTTCCGCTCTGCACAGCATGGGCCCCACTCTGCTGGGCTTGTGGTGCCTGTAATGGCTGACCGCATGGAGTTAGACCTCCATGACTTGGACTGTGCAGGGTGACAACATTAAATTGCTGTTTAAACAGAATTGACCGAGCTCTGCTCTGCTGGTCTTGCTGTGACTGTAATGGCTGACTGCCTTGAGTTGCACTTCCAGAGCTTGGAGTGCGCTGGGTGACAACATTACATTGCTGTTTAGGCTGAACTGGATGGGCCCCGCTCTGCACGGCATGGGCCCCGCTCTGCTGGGCTTCCAGTAATTGCGATGGCTGACTGCCTTGCATTGCTTCTCCAGAGCTTGGAGTGCGCTGGGTGACAACATTACATTGCTGTTTAGGCTGAACTGGATGGGCCCCGCTCTGCACGGCATGGGCCCCGCTCTGCACGGCATGGGTTTTGCTATGCTGGGCTTGCGGTGCCTGTAATGGTGGACTGCCCGGAGTTGGACCTCCAAGGCTTGGACTAGGCTGGGTAACAACATCACATTGCTGGACAGACTGAACTTTCCTCTGCTTGGCTTGTTGTGCCTGTAATGGCGGACTGTCTTGGGTTGCTCCTCCAGAACTTGGAGTTTGCTTGGTGACAGCCTTACATTGCTGTTTAGACTGAACTAGATGGGCCCCGCTCTGCACGGCATGGGCTCCGCTCTGCACGGCTTGGGCCTGCTGTGGTTGCAATGGCTGACTGCCTTGAGCTGCTCCTCCAGAGCTTGGAGTTTGCTTGGTGACAACATTACATTGCTGTTTGGACTGAACTGACTGGGCCCTTCTCTGCTGGGCATGCTGTGGCTGCAATGGCGGACTGCCATGTGCTGCACTTCCACAACTGACATTTTGCTGAGAGACATTATCACACTGCTGGACTGACTTCATCTTCTCTGTATTACCAGAACTTCTCACACTGGACTTTCCATCACCAACATTCCCACATCTACTCACAGTCTCTGCCATTTGCTTTCCATTCACTGAACTCCGTCCTCCCGCTTCACCACCAACCACAGCTTCACCTCCATGAGCAGGCCGAGAAGCCTGGGACTCTCCTGGAGGCGTCCCAGCCCAGGGCAGCCCAACCCTGGGCTTGTATCAGACATCAGAGGAGGTCAGCACCACACAGCCTGCAGCTGCTCCACAGGAAACCACACCCTCTGCACAGTCCCACTTCTCCTGTCCTGGATGCCGGGTGTCATTCTCGGTATCTGTCCCCATTCTGTATGTATGGACTCTGCACAGTCCCACTTCTCCTGTCCTGGATGCCGGGTGTCATTCTCGGTATCTGTCCCCATTCTGTATGTATGGACTCTGCACAGTCCCACTTCTCCTGTCCCGGATGCCGGGTGTCATTCTCGGTATCTGTCCCCATTCTGTATGTATGGACTCTGCACAGTCCCACTTCTCCTGTCCTGGATGCCGGGTGTCATTCTCGGTATCTGTCCCTATTCTGTATGTATGGACTCTGCACAGTCCCACTTCTCCTGTCCCGGATGCCGGGTGTCATTCTCGGTATCTGTCCCCATTCTGTATGTATGGACTCTGCACAGTCCCACTTCTCCTGTCCTGGATGCCGGGTGTCATTCTCGGTATCTGTTCCCATTCTGTATGTATGGACTCTGCACAGTCCCACTTCTCCTGTCCCGGATGCCGGGTGTCATTCTCGGTATCTGTCCCTATTCTGTATGTATGGACTCTGCACAGTCCCACTTCTCCTGTCCCAGATGCCGGGTGTCATTCTCGGTATCTGTCCCCATTCTGTATGTATGGACTCTGCACAGTCCCACTTCTCCTGTCCTGGATGCGGGTGTCATTCTTGGTATCTGTCCCCATTCTGTATGTATGGACTCTGCACAGTCCCACTTCTCCTGTCCCGGATGCCGGGTGTCATTCTCGGTATCTGTCCCTATTCTGTATGTATGGACTCTGCACACAGTCCCACTTCTCCTGTCCCAGATGCCGGGTGTCATTCTCGGTATCTGTCCCCATTCTGTATGTAAGGACTCTGCACAGTCCCCCACTTCTCCTGTCCCAGATGCGGGGTGTCATTCTCGGTATCTGTCCCCATTCTGTATGTATGGACTCTGCACAGTCCCACTTCTCCTGTCCCGGATGCCGGGTGTCATTCTCGGTATCTGTCCCCATTCTGTATGTATGGACTCTGCACAGTCCCACTTCTCCTGTCCCAGATGCCGGGTGTCATTCTCGGTATCTGTCCCCATTCTGTATGTAAGGACTCTGCACAGTCCCACTTCTCCTGTCCCGGATGCCGGGGAGTCATTCTCGGTATCTGTCCCCATTCTGTATGTAAGGACTCTGCACAGTCCCACTTCTCCTGTCCCGGATGCCGGGTGTCATTCTCGGTATCTGTCCCCATCCTGTATGTATGGACTCTGCACAGTCCCACTTCTCCTGTCCCGGATGCCGGGTGTCATTCTCAGTATTTGTCCCCATTCTGTATGTAAGGACTCTGCACAGTCCCACTTCTCCTGTCCCGGATGCCGGGTGTCATTCTCTCGGTATCTGTCCCTATTCTGTATGTATGGACTCTGCACAGTCCCACTTCTCCTGTCCCGGATGCCGGGTGTCAATTCTCAGTATCCCCTCTCATTCTGTATGTATGGACTCTGCACAGTCCCACTTCTCCTGTCCCGGATCCCGGGTGTCATTCTCGGTATCTGTCCCCATTCTGTATGTATGGACTCTGCACAGTCCCACTTCTCCTGTCCCGGATGCCGGGTGTCAATTCTCAGTATCCCCTCTCATTCTGTATGTATGGACTCTGCACAGTCCCACTTCTCCTGTCCCGGATCCCGGGTGTCATTCTCGGTATCTGTCCCCATTCTGTATGTATGGACTCTGCACAGTCCCACTTCTCCTGTCCCGGATGCCAGGTGTCAATTCTCAGTATCCCCTCTCATTCTGTATGTATGGACTCTGCACAGTCCCACTTCTCCTGTCCCGGATGCCGGGTGTCATTCTCGGTATCTGTCCCCATTCTGTATGTATGGACTCTGCACAGTCCCACTTCTCCTGTCCTGGATGCCGGGTGTCATTCTCGGTATCTCCTCTCATTCTGTATGTATGGACTCTGCACAGTCCCACTTCTCCTGTCCTGGATGCCGGGTGTCATTCTCGGTATCTCCTCTCATTCTGTATGTATGGACTCTGCACAGTCCCACTTCTCCTGTCCTGGATGCCGGGTGTCATTCTCGGTATCTGTCCCCATTCTGTATGTAAGGACTCTGCACAGTCCCACTTCTCCTGTCCCGGATGCCGGGTGTCATTCTCGGTATCTCCTCTCATTCTGTATGTATGGACTCTGCACAGTCCCACTTCTCCTGTCCCGGATGCCGGGTGTCATTCTCGGTATCTGTCCCCATTCTGTATGTATGGACTCTGCACAGTCCCACTTCTCCTGTCCCGGGTGCCATTCTCGGTATCTGTCACCATTCTGTATGTATGGACTCTGCACAGTCCCACTTCTCCTGTCCCGGGTGCCATTCTCGGTATCTGTCACCATTCTGTATGTATGGACTCTGCACAGTCCCACTTCTCCTGTCCCGGGTGCCGGGTGTCATTCTCGGTATCTCCTCTCATTTGGTGGAGGGAGGTTTGTGATTGGCTGCGCTCTGATTGGTTGGAGTCATGTGACCTCACTGCAGTCATTCCCCGTCCCAGGGACCTCGGGTGACCCCGGATTACAATTCCATATTGTCTGGGGGAATTCTATACTCCCCTCCCCCGCCCGCCGTGTGGCTGTAATCAGAGTAATTGGTCCAATTAGAATTCAGAGATTTGCGGCTTTGATTTAAGAATGTAAATACTGAAGAGCGATTCCGGTCAGTCGCGGCCCCGGCGTGCCTCTGATCTGCGTCCAGGTGAACTGCAGGCGGCGGATTCCTCGCTCTGGAAAATCTCTGCTTCTAATTTGCGTCGTTTGGACGGGACGCGGTATGTAAATTTCCGTCAGTAATAAATTTGTCAGCTTCTCATTAGCAGCCTCAGTGGGGGGAGGGGAGGGGGTGTCGCTGGCGATTCTCGGATCGGAGATTTCCCGCTGACGGGTCGGTGTGACATCATCTACGGATATAGGAGGGCGTGACATCATCTACGGATATAGGAGGGTGTGACATCATCTACGGATATAGGAGGGTGTGATGTCATCTACGGATATAGGAGGGTGTGTGATGTCATCTACGGACATAGGAGGGCGTGACATCATCTACGGATATAGGAAGGCGTGACGTCATCTACGGACATAGGAGGGTGTGACATCATCTACGGATATAGGAAGGCGTGACGTCATCTACGGACATAGGAGGGCGTGGCGTCATCTACGGACATAGGAGGGCGTGGCGTCATCTACGGAGATAGGAGGGTGTGACGTCATCTACGGACATAGGAAGGCGTGACGTCATCTACGGATATAGGAGGGCGTGACGTCATCTACGGACATAGGAGGGTGTGACATCATCTACGGATATAGGAAGGCGTGACGTCATCTACGGATATAGGAGGGCGTGACGTCATCTACGGATATAGGAGGGCGTGACATCATCTACGGATATAGGAGGGCGTGACGTCATCTACGGATATAGGAAGGTGTGACGTCATCTACGGATATAGGAAGGCGTGACGTCATCTACGGATATAGGAGGGCGTGACGTCATCTACGGACATAGGAGGGCGTGACATCATCTACGGATATAGGAGGGCGTGACGTCATCTACGGATATAGGAAGGTGTGACGTCATCTACGGATATAGGAAGGCGTGACGTCATCTACGGATGTAGGAAGGTGTGACGTCATCTACGGATGTAGGAGGGCGTGACGTCATCTACGGACGTAGGAGGGCGTGACGTCATCTACGGACATAGGAGGGCGTGACGTCATCTACGGACATAGGAAGGCGTGACGTCATCTACGGACATAGGAGGGTGTGACGTCATCTACGGACATAGGAAGGCGTGACGTCATCTACGGACATAGGAGGGTGTGACATCATCTACGGATATAGGAGGGCGTGACATCATCTACGGATATAGGAAGGCGTGACATAATCTACAGACGTAGGAAGGCGTGATGTCATCAATGGACATAGGAAGGTGTGACATCATCTACGGATGTAGGAAGGCGTGACGTCATCTACGGACATTGGAGGGCGTGACGTCATCTACTGATGTAGGAGGGTGTGACGTCATCTACGGATGTAGGAAGGCGTGACGTCATCTACGGATGTAGGAGGGCGTGACGTCATCAATGGACGTAGGGGGGCGTGACGTCATCAACGGACATAGGAAGGTGTGACATCATCTACGGATGTAGGAAGGCGTGACGTCATCTACGGACATTGGAGGGCGTGACGTCATCTACTGATGTAGGAGGGTGTGACGTCATCTACGGATGTAGGAAGGCGTGACGTCATCTACGGATGTAGGAGGGCGTGACGTCATCAATGGACGTAGGGGGGCGTGACGTCATCAACGGACATAGGAGGGCGTGACGTCATCTACGGACATTGGAGGGCGTGACGTCATCTACGGATGTAGGAACGTGTGACGTCATCTACGGATGTAGGAGGGCGTACGTCATCTACGGACGTAGGAGGGCGTGACGTCATCTACGGACGTAGGAGGGCGTGACGTCATCTACGGACATAGGAAGGCGTGACGTCATCTACGGACATAGGAGGGTGTGACGTCATCTACGGACGTAGGAAGGCGTGACGTCATCTACGGATATAGGAGGGCGTGACATAATCTACAGACGTAGGAAGGCGTGACGTCATCAATGGACGTAGGGGGGCGTGACGTCATCAACGGACATAGGAAGGTGTGACATCATCTACGGACATTGGAGGGCGTGACGTCATCTACTGATGTAGGAGGGTGTGACGTCATCTACGGATGTAGGAAGGCGTGACGTCATCTACGGATGTAGGAGGGCGTGACGTCATCAATGGACGTAGGGGGGCGTGACGTCATCAACGGACATAGGAGGGCGTGACGTCATCTACGGACATTGGAGGGCGTGACGTCATCTACTGATGTAGGAGGGCGTGACGTCATCTACGGACGTAGGAGGGCGTGACGTCATCTACGGATATAGGAGGGCGTGACGTCATCTACGGATATAGGAGGGTGTGAGATCATCTACGGATATAGGAGGGCGTGACGTCATCTAGGGATGTAGGAGGGCGTGACGTCATCTAGGGATATAGGAGGGCGTGACGTCATCTAGGGACATAGGAGGGCGTGACATAATCTACAGACGTAGGAGGGCGTGACGTCATCTAGGGATGTAGGAGGGCGTGACGTCATCTAGGGATATAGGAGGGCGTGACGTCATCTAGGGACATAGGAGGGCGTGACGTCATCTAGGGACATAGGAGGGCGTGACGTCATCTACGGATGTAGGAGGGGCGTGACGTCATCTACGGACATAGGAGGGCGTGACGTCATCTACGGACATAGGAGGGCGTGACGTCATCTACGGACATAGGAGGGCGTGACGTCATCTACGGACATAGGAGGGCGTGACGTCATCTACGGACATAGGAGGGCGTGACGTCATCTACGAACATAGGAGGGAGTGACGTCATCTACGGACATAGGAAGGCGTGACGTCATCTACGGATATAGGAGGGCGTGACGTCATCTACGGATATAGGAGGGCGTGACCTCATCTACGGACATAGGAGGGCGTGACCTCATCTACGGACATAGGAGGGCGTGACGTCATCAACGGAGACAGGAGGGCGTGACGTCATCTACGGATGTAGGAGGGCGTGACGTCATCTAGGGATGTAGGAGGGCGTGACGACATCAAAGATATAGGAAGGCGTGACGTCATCAAGGATATAGGAAGGCGTGATGTCATCGACAGATATAGGAAGGCGTGACGTCATCAAGGATATAGGAAGGCGTGACGTCATCAAGGATATAGGAAGGCGTGACGTCATCAAGGATATAGGAAGGTGTGAAACTGAAACATTGTAACTGTGACAGCCCTCAAATGGAAGGAGGTGGGCGGAGACATGCAAATAACTTTGTCTCCAGGAAACGTGTCACCGCCTCATCCTCAGACTGAATTCATTACTTCAGCTCCTCCCCTGGTGTACCAGCTCCTCCCCTTCCACACAGGTGTACCGGCTCCTCCCTTCCAGTCTTGCACAGGTGTACCGGCTCTTCTCCTTCATTCTTGCACAGGTGTACCAGCTCCTCCCCTTCAATCTTGAACAGGTGTACCAGCTCCTCCCCTCCAGTCTTGCACAGGTGTACCGGCTCCTCCCCTTTAGTCTTGCACAGGTGTACCGGCTCCTCCCCTCCAGTCTTGCACAGGTGTACCGACTCCTCCTCTTCAGTCTTGCACAGGTGTACCGGCTCCTCCCCTTCAGTCTTGCACAGGTGTAACGGCTCCTCCCCTACAGTCTTGCACAGGCGTACCGGCTCCTCCCCTTCAGTCTTGCACATGTCTCCTGGCTCCTCCCCTTCAGTCTTGCACAGGTGTAGCGGCTCCTCCCCTCCAGTCTTGCACAGGTGTACCGGCTCCTCCCCTTTAGTCTTGCACAGGTGTACCAGCTCCTCCCTTTCAGTCTTGCACAGGTGTACCGGCTCCTCCCCTTCAGTCTTGCACAGGTGTACCGGCTCCTCCCCTTCAGTCTTGCACAGGTGTATCGGCTCCTCCCCTTCAGGCTTGTACAGGTGTATCGGCTCCTCCCCTTCAGGCTTGTACAGGTGTATCGGCTCCTCCCCTGGACTGGAATGGCTTCCTCTGGTGTCACTGCACACTGGGAGCATCTGACAATGTGCATTAGAAGCTGCAGCCAGATAGAGCTCCGCCCCATTTCTTGGCTGAAGAACGTCCAGCATCATCTAGCGCTTTCCTCCCCAGCCTGACTGTCCCTGACCCTGCCACTTTCATTCATTAGAGCCTGCCTCATTTCCTGGCTTGAGGACATCCAGCATCATCTAGCACTTACCTCCCCAGCCTGGCTGTCGCTGGCCCACCCCCTTCATTCATTGGATTTCAATCCTGGCCCGCCCCCTTCATTCATTGGATTTCAATCCTTGCCCGCCCCCCTCATTCATTCTTTCCATCATGGAGGCTCAGCGTTGTATGTGGGCATTACGTATGTAATGGGTCTCCGCTATGGGAGATCGGTCCGTTGGGTCTCTGCTATGGGGGATCGGTCCGTTGGGTCTCCGCTATGGGGGATCGGTCCGTTGGGTCTCCGCTATGGGGGATCGGTCCGTTGGGTCTCTGCTATGGGGGATCGGTCCGTTGGGTCTCTGCTATGGGGGATCGGTCCGTTGGGTCTCTGCTATGGGGGATCGGTCCGTTGGGTCTCCGCTATGGGGGATCGGTCCGTTGGGTCTCCGCTATGGGGGATCGGTCCGTTGGGTCTCTGCTATGGGGGATCGGTCCGTTGGGTCTCTGCTATGGGGGATTGGTCCGTTGGGTCTCCGTTATGGGGGATTGGTCTGTTGGGTCTCCGCTCTCGGGAGATCGGTCCGTTGGGTCTCTGCTATGGAGGATCGGTCCGTTGGGTCTCTGCTATGGGGGATCGGTCCGTTGGGTCTCCGCTATGGGGGATCGGTCCGTTGGGTCTCCGCTATGGGGGATCGGTCCGTTGGGTCTCTGCTATGGGGGATCGGTCCGTTGGGTCTCTGCTATGGGGGATCGGTCCGTTGGGTCTCTGCTATGGGGGATCGGTCCGTTGGGTCTCCGCTATGGGGGATCGGTCCGTTGGGTCTCCGCTATGGGGGATCGGTCCGTTGGGTCTCTGCTATGGGGGATCGGTCCGTTGGGTCTCTGCTATGGGGGATTGGTCCGTTGGGTCTCCGTTATGGGGGATTGGTCTGTTGGGTCTCCGCTCTCGGGAGATCGGTCCGTTGGGTCTCTGCTATGGAGGATCGGTCCGTTGGGTCTCTGCTATGGGGGATCGGTCCGTTGGGTCTCCGCTATGGGGGATCGGTCCGTTGGGTCTCTGCTATGGGGGATCGGTCCGTTGGGTCTCTGCTATGGGGGATCGGTCCGTTGGGTCTCCGCTATGGGGGATTGGTCCGTTGGGTCTCCGTTATGGGGGATTGGTCTGTTGGGTCTCCGCTCTCGGGAGATCGGTCCGTTGGGTCTCCGCTATGGGGGATCGGTCCGTTGGGTCTCCGCTATGGGGGATCGGTCTGTTGGGTCTCTGCTATGGGGGATCGGTCCGTTGGGTCTCTGCTGTCGGGGGATTGGTCCGTTGGGTCTCTGCTGTCGGGGGATTGGTCCGTTGGGTCTCTGCTATGGGAGATCGGTCCGTTGGGTCTCTGCTATGGGGGATCGGTCCGTTGGGTCTCCGCTATGGGGGATCGGTCCGTTGGGTCTCCGCTATGGGGGATTGGTCCGTTGGGTCTCCGTTATGGGGGATTGGTCTGTTGGGTCTCCGCTCTCGGGAGATCGGTCCGTTGGGTCTCCGCTATGGGGGATCGGTCCGTTGGGTCTCCGCTATGGGGGATCGGTCTGTTGGGTCTCTGCTATGGGGGATCGGTCCGTTGGGTCTCTGCTGTCGGGGGATTGGTCCGTTGGGTCTCTGCTATGGGGGATCGGTCTGTTGGGTCTCTGCTATGGGGGATCGGTCCGTTGGGTCTCTGCTATGGGGGATCGGTCCGTTGGGTCTCTGCTATGGGGGATCGGTCTGTTGGGTCTCCCCTATGGGGGATCGGTCCCCGGGATATGGGGGCACCGACCACTAAGGAGGGAATCAAAGAACTCGCTCAGCAGAGAACCCCTCCCCCCACTGGTATCTTGCACTCTCTGGCTGCCATGCCCTTAGTACTGGTTGCCCTTGGTAACTACACGTCTCCCCCTTCATCCCGGTGTGCGTGGAACAGGCCGTGTTCTTGGTCATCTGTACACCGCCATGCACCCCTCGCGGTGACTTCAGGCCAGGAACTTTTATTGAATGTCCACAGGGTACAGCCCAGCAACAACCAGAGGAGGAGCTCATCCCTAACTGTCTACTGCAGGCTGCCCAGTGCATACCTTCCCCGACGGCAGAGTCCTTGGAGTCCTCAACCCAGCACTGTCCTGGCTCTAGGTGTAGTTCCCATTGGAGGGCTCCATAATCCAGCAGTGTCCTGGCTCTAGGTCTAGTTCCCCTTGGAGGTGCTCTAGTTCCCCTTGGAGGGCGGCGGTGTCTCCCCCTAGCGGAGGGCGGCGGTGTCTCCCCTTAGAGGAGAGCGGCGGTGTCTCCGCCTAGCGGAGGGTGGCGATTTCTCCCCATAGCGGAGAGAGGCAGTGTCTCCCCCTAGAGGAGGGCGGCGGTGTCTCCGCCTAGCGGAGGGCGGCGGTGTCTCCCCCTAGAGGAGGGCGGCGGTGTCTCCCCCTAGAGGAGGGCGGCGGTGTCTCCCCCTAGAGGAGGGCGGCGGTGTCTCCCCCTAGCGGAGGGTGGCGGTGTCTCCCCCTAGAGGAGGGCGGCGGTGTCTCCCCCTAGTGGAGGGTGGCGATTTCTCCCCATAGCGGAGAGAGGCAGTGTCTCCCCCTAGAGGAGGGCGGCGGTGTCTCCGCCTAGCGGAGGGCGGCGGTGTCTCCCCCTAGAGGAGGGCGGCGGTGTCTCCCCCTAGCGGAGGGCGGCGGTGTCTCCCCCTAGAGGAGGGCGGCGGTGTCTCCCCCTAGAGGAGGGCGGCGGTGTCTCCCCCTAGCGGAGGGCGGCGGTGTCTCCCCCTAGAGGAGGGCGGCGGTGTCTCCCCCTAGTGGAGGGCGGCGGTGTCTCCCTCTAGCGGCGGGCGGTGTTGTCAGCACTGTCATTGAACTCCTCCAACATCCAGACTCCTTCATGAGGTCACAGATGAAGGTTTCGCTGCGCTGAGGGCTAACATTACAGAGGTCAGAGTGTTGCCCCTCCCCCATTTCTGTTCCTGTAATTGAATTCCCTCCATCAGCTCTCTGGCCTTCAAATCAATTAGTGTCTGAGACAGACAGCAGCAAGTGTCCCCCCCACCGCTGACCCCCACCGCTGACCCCGCACCCAGCATGAGGGGACCCTCACCTGGACCTGAGTCACCTTCACTAAATCACTGAAATGTAATTCCCCCCCCCCCCCCATCCTCCTCTCTGAGATCCCTGGAATGGTGGTACTCCCATCACTGACCCTATAATATGGTGACACCTGTACTCCTCCATCTCACAATACAAAGGAGCCCCTCCACCTGCCAAACCCTTCCCCCCGCCTAACCTGTCCACCCGCCAAACCCCTCCACCTGCCAAACCCCTCCACCTGCCAAACTCCTCCACCCGCCTAACCCCTCCACCTGCCAAACCCCTCCCCCCGCCTCACCTGTCCACCCACCAAACGGCCTAACCTCTCTGCCTGCCATACCCCTCCCCCCGCATCACAGCTGGTAAAGAGGACCTGTCTCTGGAACTGTACATGTCTGTATGAATAAATCCCCAACATGCAAATCGATCAAAACTGAAACAGAACAGAAACTGATCGAATAGCCATGACTCACCTTTCGATCGATTTAGATCAGATTTGATTCATTTGAGTCAATCATCTGGGATGAAAAATGATCAATAATTTATCAATTGGCATCAATGAGAAGATTCGGACATAAATTCGACTGTATTTCCATTGATTCAGTTATGAGGCTTCATGGAGATAACCTGCAGATATACCGTCCAACGATTGACCGAATTCCACCTCCCTGTGTGTGGTGTATCCAATCAACTGTGTTCTTGACTAACGATGAATTTGTTCCGATCAAAAAAAAAAAATCGATCGTTTATTGAAGTGTGTATGACCACCATAAGTGTGGCTACAATATTCTATATAATAACACTTTATTGATACATTGTAATGTTCAATACACCGCGCCTCGATCCATCGTCCAATGATTATCCCGGGTGTGGTCTCAGGTGACACCGCGCCTCGATCCATCGTCCAATGATTATCCGGGGTGTGGTCTCAGGTGACACCGCGCCTCGATCCATCGTCCAATGATTATCCCGGGTGTGGTCTCAGGTGACACCGCGCCTCGATCCATCGTCCAATGATTATCCCGGGTGTGGTCTCAGGATACACCGCGCCTCGATCCATCGTCCAATGATTATCTGGGTGTGGTCTCAGGATACGCCGCGCCTCGATCCATCGTCCAATGATTATCCCGGGTGTGGTCTCAGGATACGCCACGCCTCGATCCATCGTCCAATGATTATCCCGGGTGTGGTCTCAGGATACGCCGCGCCTCGATCCATCGTCCAATGATTATCCGGGTGTGGTCTCAGGATACACCGCGCCTCGATCCATCGTCCAATGATTATCCGGGTGTGGTCTCAGGATACACCGCGTCTCGATCCATCGTCCAATGATTATCCCGGGTGTGGTCTCAGGATACACCGCGCCTCGATCCATCGTCCAATGATTATCCGGGTGTGGTCTCAGGATACACCGCGCCTCGATCCATCGTCCAATGATTATCCGGGTGTGGTCTCAGGATACACCGCGCCTCGATCCATCGTCCAATGATTATCCCGGGTGTGGTCCCAGGATACACCGCTCCTCGATCCATCGTCCAATGATTATCCGGGGTGTGGTCCCAGGATACACCGTGCCTCGATCCATCGTCCAATGATTATCCGGGGTGTGGTCTCAGGATACACCGCGCCTCGATCCATCGTCCAATGATTATCCCGGGTGTGGTCTCAGGATACACCGCTCCTCGATCCATCGTCCAATGATTATCCCGGGTGTGGTCCCAGGATACACCGCGCCTCGATCCATCGTCCAATGATTATCCCGGGTGTGGTCTCAGGATACACCGCGCCTCGATCCATCGTCCAATGATTATCCGGGTGTGGTCTCAGGATACACCGCGTCTCGATCCATCGTCCAATGATTATCCCGGGTGTGGTCTCAGGATACACCGCGCCTCGATCCATCGTCCAATGATTATCCGGGTGTGGTCTCAGGATACACCGCGCCTCGATCCATCGTCCAATGATTATCCCGGGTGTGGTCTCAGGATACACTGCGCTTCGATCCATCGTCCAATGATTATCCCGGGTGTGGTCTCAGGATACACCACGCCTCGATCCATCGTCCAATGATTATCCCGGGTGTGGTCTCAG